AAACCAATGTTCTCCCATGTAAACGATCACTTAATTCACAAGAAAAACTTTTAACAAAAAGTTTAAATAAATGAAATTTAAACCAATACCATAGCCATAACCATATTCCTGTCACGTATGAATTTACTCATTAATTTGCATATAGGAGTTCATTTAATTGACATGTCTTTGAGATATATTTTTCATTATTTCCATTTTTCAGTTTTACAATCTGAGATTGGGAAGGTTTCAAATGTGACAACCTATCATTAACTTTGTACTTGTAACTTTGTTTTCCAAGTTTTCATAAAAGCAGTGATATCGTTTTTAACATTAATAGTATGCATGTCGATTTGTTAGTTTTATTATTATTATTATTATTATTATTCTAGATAATTCATAGAAATACACTGCCTAGAATTATCTGAGCTGTTGATTCAATCCTTGTGGTCCTCCCTTGCTTCTTTTCTTCAGTTTAGCTTCTTTCTTATTTGCTTTCTTTTGCTTTTATGTCTCTTCATTGCAGTTTTAAGATGTACCCCTGCAAGATCCTAATATAAATGTAGTAATGAATGAATAGAATACAAGTTGTTCCTTCACATTATTTCATTTTTGAATAGTCTTTGGAAATATCATCAAGAATGGAAGTTTTATATTAGTGTAATGCATTCAAAGCTTCACATTTTGAGAAGACTATTAGTAGAATTGAGTCTTTACAGTGAGGGTGGGTTAACAGATGCTGTCAGCGATCCTCCCATATTCCCTGGTATCCTCTCACCATCTCCACTGAAGATCAGTCTAACTGATAATAGACAGCATCAGCAGGAACCTACTGTGCAAAAAGCATTGTGGAAGAATTGACCTGGAATTGGTAAGCTACGGGAATAGCCCTTCATTGAGAGGTCTGTAATATACCACTTTACATGGGATGAACCTAAGGTATGGGTTTTGAACATTTTCCAAAATTTCCTTACAGAATAAAAACTCTGCTCACTCACTGTGGTAGCTGACTTAAGGGATGTTCAATTACATGTATTATCTTTTGAGTCAGTTCTCCTCTATCCTGTCCATATGACTTAGCCCTTCAATAAATATTGCACTGGAATATTTGACTCAATGTCTTCTTCTGGGGAAACCAGAACAAAGAAAGTTGATAAAGTCTGTGAGGAATGTGAAAAGAATTACAAAAGGAACAAGGGACTTTAAGGCCAAAACAAAATTTTAAAATAAAATAATTTATTGAAAAATCATTAATTTTTTACTGAGAAAAGACTTGTTCAGTATGCCTTCAATTCTCTTTAATTCCATTTAATTTATTTAAATGTTTATTTATAAGGAGCTTTGGTAGCATAGTGGTTATGAATCAAGCTGCTAAACACAAGGTCAGCAGTTCCAAACTGCCAGCTGTAATGTGGGAGAAAGATGAGGCTTTCTACTCCAGTAAAGATTTATAGCGGTGTAAACCCTATACAGGGTTGCTATGAGGCAGAACCAACTCCATGGCACATCACCACCACCATATTTATTATAAGCACTGGACTGTTAACTGCAAATTTGGCAGCTCAAACCTACCAGCTGCTCCTCAGAAACCCTAAAATAGTATCATCATGAATAGGAACACACTTTATGGCACTTTACAATAACCACATGTATAAACTAAAGAAACTCATGGTGTAGTGGATTACAAGTTGAGCTGCTAACTGCAAAGTCAGCAATTCAAATCCACAAGCTGCTTTGTGGGAGGATGAGACTTTCTGTTCCTGCAAAGATTTATAGTTTTGGAAATCCAATACAAATTCACTATGAATAGGAACTGAGTCAATGACACAGAATCAACCAACTTTATACAAACTAAGGAGGAGACCAGAGAGGTATATACTTTAAAAAGAATATAATTCAGTGTGAAAATCATCATCATACTGATGTGTAATAAATACTGTTGTAAAAATAAGGGTAGACATTTTTAACTTACCTTGAGCAATTCCACACAAAACTTCCTGAAGTTTATTTTTTACACCTTTATTAAAGTATAGTTTGTATACCATAAAATTGATTAATTTTAATTTAAGGGTTTAAGTAAATTTATTTAGTTATACAATTGTCACCACAATCTAGTTTTAGAAAATCATGTGCTTCAAAGACAGAAACCTTGGATCCGAGGTTTCTTAGACTCTGTGAACATGTGGCTATCCTATAGGCTATACTCAAGGTCTCATCAAAACATTTCCCTAAACTATATATATAGCAACAATTTAGATTGCTTTCCTAGATTCTTCTAGCATTTGCCTTGTTTAATTAACTCTATTGAAAAAGCTAGCCAAGGAATGTATTATATTGCTCTCTGTCCTTTTGTATTGAATGATTTATTAAAGCAACCCCCGAAATTCTCGATTTATCCTCTAAGACTTGTTGCCTAAAATGTACTTATCATTGAAATGATTTCCTAATGGTATTTGTAACAAAGTAGAGTATTTATTAACATTTAACTATGGTAGGGAGGATATCTGTTTTCTTTATTTTATTTTCAGTCACTTTTAATCTTAGACTAGCAGGAGATTGGTTGATGCTGTCTTTTCATAGAAGGAATACCAATTGAGAATCTGCCATGTTTTAGATGGTGGGGACAAAGTTATGAATAAAAAATTAGTTCTTCTCTTTTAATAAGCTTAAATTTCAGTAGGGATGGGAGAAAACAGGCAAGTGAACTTATTTAAAAAAAAA